TATATATATATATATATATATATATATGTATATATATATATATATATATATATATATATATATATATATATATATATATATATATATATATATATGAGCAATATCACACTCGTAGCAGTGCGATATGGCTGTATATCAGCACTGGTGGGAGGCGTGCCTTGTGTCCCACCAGTGCTGATATACAACCATATCGCAACGCTACGAGTGTGATATTGCGTTTATACAACAGTTCAACGGCACAATCATGTATATAAATAATGAAATCAAACAAGGAGAGTCTAAAAACCCTTTTTTCCTGCCAACATGTCTCTGAAAATCCGGGAGACCGGAGAGGAAAAGGTGTTCGGGGGTGAGGTTGAGAACCGGGATAGGATGCAGCAGGTTTTGGGCGGCCGCTTCGATCGATTACCGTACCGAAGTTGGCAACCCGGGGGTGTTGAATTTACAGTCTATACCAAAGAGGGGGGTGGGTGAAATTACAGGAGTTTTTTTAGGAAGAAATAAAAATGGGATGGTTGTGGGAGACAGGTCGGAAATACAGGATACACCTATGAAAAACTGAAGTGTTTGCATGTGTGCTTACCAGTTTAATATTGATATGATCTTCTGTAGTTAGAAATCTGACTGCTATATCTTCTAAGCATAATGCTGCGTTCACACCAGACACGGCACGCGCGTCAAGCACGAGTGATTTACATGTTAAGTCAATGCAAACGCGCGAATAGACATCCTGCGGCGCGATACGCGCGAATGGCGCGAGGCGAATTGAGCGTTTTGTGCGTTTGACACGCTTAACGATCGTTTCGCGCAAATCTCTCGATTTCGAAAATCTGAACTTCAGCGTACATTCGCGCCGCGTTAACCAATCAGAAGCTTGCTCTTGTGGGGGCGTGATTGTGACGTAGAACCTGTTGTCGGTGTTCCGAGGGAAATCCTCCAGCCTTCACCGACAACAGTTCATCAAACTGGGCTTGGCTCAGTCAGAAGCACCGCTGAAAGCCTCCGTCATCCAGGTTCAGTTTCTGGAGGAGTTTATGAGCTCGCAGAGCTGAATGCATCTCTGAAAAGATGTAGTGGACTCAGACACAACCCTAAACGTATGGACGCTGTTTTTCAGTCTTCATAAAGCACATAAACATGGTTATTTTCTTCATAAAATCCATGTTAGCCATTTAGCTATGAAGCTAGAGTCTTCGGGCAGACAGAAGCCCTGCCCATCACGCGAATCCGCGTCTGTTCTGAAGGGAATTTGACACGCGAATGAAGCGGGGTTTGATGCGCGAATGAAGCGAGTAAACTCAAATGTTCACGCGGCTATTTACACGCAAATAGCGCGATTTATCCGCGCGTTCCACGTCTGATGTGAACACAGCATAAGGGCTTATTATGCGGTTTTGTCGCCATCTTGTGGATAGAAAACGTCAACTATTGCCGACCAGCTCTCTCAGAAATTGTAAATATTTTAAAATAGGCACTATTCTAACAAATAAACTGCATAGTTGCAATCTAAACAGCTACATTCTCGACTAAAAAAGCCTCAAAAATACATTTTGTTGTCTAAAAACAGTAATATTTGTCAAACTGTAGTGTCTCTGTTGCTGGCCGTATGTTGGCGGAGTAATACAAAGAGGTGAAGGGTGAAGAGGCCTTTGTGTGACTTTACTGGCGAAATATCGCACGGCTATCAGCCAATCAGATTCAAGAGCCAGACAGAACTGTTGTACGTATAATATATATATATATATATATATATATATATATATATATATATATATAGAGAGAGAGAGAGAGAGAGAGAGAGAGAGAGAAAGAGAGAGAGATGTCACATTGTCCATGAGTTCCTGGCCTGGTTTCCTTACACTTGCACCCTCTTTTTTTACTCCAGCGTCCTGTTTTTTGTGATACTAGAGCAGATGAAGTGAGCTCAGCATGAAAAAAAAAAAGTGTCTAAACGTCAAAGCTATCAGATGAATATACCAGATGCTGTCTGTGCAGAAATGAAAAGGTCAGACTCTACATTTCATTTCTGACCCTGTGTGTAAATGCAGAGAGACATACAAGCATCCATCCATCAGATCTCTAGCAACATTGCGCATGTCATTGAGGAATCTAGGACAAGCTGTGTCTGAGGAACTCTTTTTGCACGGCTGCATGAGTCCACGAGCAGATCCTGTCTCACTTTTTCCCATTGAGAACAATTTCCACTCATTTTCCCCTCACATCAGTGCACTGATAACACACTAAATCAGCTCATTGACATAACCCGCTGACCTGGTTTACATACAAACCAGTAAACCATGTTTACAACTTTATTGATGAATTTGCATTCATGTTTTAACCCAATTATTGATCAAAAACTAACAATGCAGATGGTCAAGTATACATGTCTACATGTTTTTCCTTTATTAAAGATTTTAAAAAGATTTATGCCCCTTACACTATCACCTAAAGACTATAGAATTATCTAATGAAAAATCCAATGAGCGCTCCATAGCAAAGCAAACCTCACCTTCTACTGCAGGAGCCAATCAACGATTGATAAAGATCAGGGGAGTCAAACTTAGATCCTGGAGGCCCTGCACAGTTTAGTTCCAACCCTGCTCCAACACACTTAAGCTGTGGTCACACTGCACTTTTCACCCCTTAGATTTCCATTCATACGCACGCTAATGTGTCAGACCGGAAACGCAAGCTCTTTCGAAAAGCTCCGCAGTTCACTGCGTTGGAAAGTTTAAGCTTGGTGAACTCTGACCTGTTAAATTATATCACATGACTGCGTGAGACCAATCCAAGATCAAAACATGACCTCTGGATCTCTGGAGAGCAATTTAAAACATGGACCAATCGCTTGCTTTTTTTTAACTTGTTTAATCCCGCCCCTTTTCTCTAGTTTGATCGCAGCAACACTCCTTGCTGCCCCATTATTTTCAGTAGGATTTTCTATATTTAGGCTACTTTGGAACCTTTGCTAAAAAGAAATTGCCAAGACCGAATAAAAACAAACAAACAAGCAAAATCAGTGTTCCAGCGTTGATGAGTTCTGACTCATTAAATATGTGTATAACTACATTTTGAGTTGACAATACTGTATTCTTTGATTCTATTCATTCATTTTCTTTTCGGCTTAGTCCCTTTTTTACTCCGGGGTCGCCACAGCGGAATGAACCGCCAACTTATCCAGCATGTTTTTATGCAGCGGATGCCCTTCCAGCTGCAACCCATCTCTGGGAAACATCCACACACACCTATTCACAGTCATACACTAAGGACAATTTAGCCTACTCAATTCTCCTGTACCGCATGTCTTTGGACTGTGGGGGAAATCGGAGCACCCGGAGGAAACCTACGCGAAGGCAGGGAGAACATGCAAACTCCACACGGAAATGCCAACTGACCCAGCCGAGGCGCAAATCAGTGACCTTCTTGCTATAAGACGACAGCACTACCTACTGCTCCACTGTTTCGCTTCTTTGATTCTATTGTTTTTTTAATTTAATGGGGATATATATATATATATATATATATATAGACACACACACACACACAAACACACACACACACACACACACACATATATGTATATATATGGGCAATTCCAAGCAAATGTCAACCTTACCATAAAAAAATATTTAGTTTTCAGCAAAAATAGACAAACCGTTTCTACATTTTTTGTGTTAGCAAGTATTTTACAGTACTGTAAAAATACTCGTGAATGTATCTGTCAGTATTTCAAACTATTATATTTAATTTGCCAAAATCACACAAGTGGCAATTTCACAGCTGTCACATCCATAACGGAAACGTGTCACATCCATAACGACACTTTTTCTTCATAAATGCAAAAATGTCAAATTAAATAAAATCAATCATTTTAATTCTATAGTGAGCCGACTCATACCTGTTTGATGAGCTTTGTGTCTTTTGGGTTGTGCAGTTTAACTGTCAGAATTTCTAAATAATCTGTTGTCGACTGTAAATTCGCAAACTTTTTTGTCACATCCATAACGCATGTTTATTTTCCTAATTTAAAATATAAAACATGTTTACATATTGATATTTTTCTGCTCCCATAACTCTGTGGTGAGCTATTTTGGAAAATATAAACAGAAGTTTCGATATAATGTCAACATATACTTTCTGTGTGAAATTATGTTTTGAGTTTTTACTGCAAATGTCACATCCATAACGCTGGATTGCTCATATATATATATATATATATATATATATATATATATATAGGGGCAATAAATCAGGAGGGCTTATAATTCTGACTTGTGTAACTGACAGCAGATTGATTCATGTATTACTTTTAGTCTGTCACGTAGTACTATTTATTCTTTCCTTACAGCCCTGATGAAACAAAAAGATGTGGATGAAGCTTTAAAGGAGGCTGGTTTGCCTCTGTGGACCCCAGTTTGCCAAACATAGAGTAGGGGCTTGTGGACTGTTCCCCTTCTCCTCCACCTGTCCATGAGGAGGTGCCTTTAAAAAACCCTGCTTTCCCCTGTGCTAATCAGAGCCGATGCACCACTTGCCTTCTCTGTGTTCAGCTCTTTGTTTGTTTACCAAAAGAAGACGGACGCCAGTGTTCATGTGCTGTTTCTGCTGCTAAATGTATGACTTTAACTACACATAAGTGCTTCTACAGGCCCTTGCTTAGGTGTGGAGCAGTGTGCTAGTTTTGCTAGCTCCATCCACTGCCATGTGTTATCATTTTTGAAGTTGCTGTATAAATGTATAATAGTCATAAACGCAAACATGGACACTTTTGAGCGGCGTAGATTACTTGTGTCTTTTCTGGTCCTAAATGTTTGTGTCATATGATTAATTCCATAATTGTGGGTACATTTCCATTAATTTTCCTTAAACTGGTTAATAAAGAACTGGTCCAAATTTAGTAAGGGAGCAAATATTTTCACAATTGATATTTAAAGGGCACCTATTTTACCCCTTTTACAAGATGTAAGATAAGTCTTTGTTGTCACTAAAATGTATCTGTAATGTTTCCGCTCAAAATACCCATCAGTATATAATGTAGAATCTGCTCATTTTGTTGTCTGGGGAGGATAATGTAGCTGTTTTTGCAACCTGTTGCTTTAAATTCAAATGAGCTGCTTCCCCCTGCCCACATGCGTGTCTGCTTCTCATGCTTTACATCAGATAAACAGTCGTCAGTGATAGAGACAGACATGGATAAAGCTGAATTAAGGTCACTAGTCAAAAATACCAAGTAAGTTTGTTCAATGTATTTGTGGAGTCTATTCACACGCAAATGCTGTTTGCAGTACACACACACACACATGCGCATTTATTGACACAATGCGGACTTGGTGATTATAGAGGTTAAGAATTATATAGTGATTTTATTCCCTTTATTAAAAACATGCACTGTTTTAAAACATTCTAAACTTCTAAAATTATTTATTGAGGTGCAGCTGATCACACAGACTTGTAACATGTTTAAAGAGCCCCTATTTTGCATTAAAAAAGGTCATATTTTGGTTTTAGGGGTCTGCAACAACATGCTGATATGCGTGCAAGATACAAAATATACCCACAATTCTAGAATTACTCATATGCTGACTGTTAATGTTCATCATTATATGTGAAACATTTTTATCATGACATCGCAATGTAATGTCTTGTGTTAAGTGATAGTTTACCAAAAATAAAAGTTCTGTCATCATGCACTCATCCTTC